ACGTTGTACTACCTGGTACTACGCCGGCATATTTCTAAAACTGACGTTGCCAAACTGCTTTTTATTATTAAAAGAAACACGACCATGATATTTTTATTCCATTATAAAATTTAAAATAGTAAAGCAGTTAAGCATTAAATGAAAAAATTGACGTTAGCAAATTAATGATTTTTTATTTTAGCAATTAAAAATGCTTTTTGGGTCTAAATGATCATTTTAAGACAATAAAAAAAATACCCGCAAGGGGCCTATTTTGCTCAGCGGCTGACCGATTTTGTGTGTAAAAATAGACCATTTAGGGAAATCGCTTACAGAGCTTTCAGATGGAGCGGACCGTCCGCGACTTCGAACAAGTACCATGAGTTTATATGAACAATTTCACATGGGCGCGTATGCTCCGTTCGACGGAGTTCGTCCGACGGCTATCTTGAAAAAAACACGATGGACGGTCTACAGCGCTTTCAGATGGAACGAACCGTCCGCGACGGGGCGCGACTTCGAGCAAGTACCATGAGTATATTTGAACAATTTCACATCGGCGCGTATGCTCCGTCCGACGGAATTTGTCCGACGCCGGCTATCTTGAAAAAACACGACGGACGATCCGTCGCGGATGGTTACAGCGCTTTTAGATGGAGCGGAGTGTCCGCGCGGACCGTCCGCCGGTTCCATGAATTTAAATGAACAATTTCACATGGGTTGCGTATGCCCCGTCCGGATGAACTATCTTGAAAAGACATCCGCGCGGACGGTCCGCTCCATCTGAAAACGATGTTGTTGTAGCGGACGGTTAGATGTAATTTTTACATCTGTAATTGATTACTTCATAGAGAAAGCAAGGGAATTCAACATCCCTCTTTATATTTGTTTCGTAGACTATAAAAAAGCTTTCGATAAAGTCGGATGGCATCACCTATCTTATAGGAAGTGGGGGTGTGAAGTGAACTTGTCATCCAGTTGTATCAGCACACTACAGGATCAGTTAGAATACTGGATTCAGCTTCAAAGGAATTTTCCCTCGAACAAGGAGGCAGACAGGGGTCTATATTGTCTCCTCAACTATTTAACATATAGCACTACAGGATCAGTTAAAATACTGGATTCAGCTTCAAAGGAATTTTCCCTCGAACAAGGAGTCAGACAGGGGTCTATATTGTCTCCTCAACTATTTAACATATACGGAGAATACATAATGAGAAGGTCGCTAGAAACATGGGAAGGAGGCATTTCAATAAATGGCCAAAAAATAAATAATCTACGCTTTGCAGATGATACAGCACTACTCGCTAGCAGTCAAGAAGAGTTAATCAATTTAGTAAATAGGGTAGAAAACGAAAGCAATCGGCTCGGTCTGGAACTAAATACACAAAAAACCAAACTCATGATAGTTGATAGGCAACATAACTATCATCCAAATATAAATCATATCGACCGCTTTGAAGTCGTTAAGTCATACGTATACCTGGGATCACTATTGACAAATACAGGTACATCGGAAGAAGAGGTGAAGCGTAGGTGCAACATGGCAAAGGTAGCTGTTGGGAGACTGACCAAGACCTGGAAAGACCGCCAGATTTCAAGAGCCATCAAAAACCGGTTAGTCAACTGTTTGGTACTCCCAATATTGACGTATGGCTGCGAATCGTGGACTCTCAGGCAGGCGGAACGTAAGATGATCGATGCTACCGAGATGTATTGTTATAGACGTATGCTCCGTATCCCATGGACTGAACGCCGTACAAACGTTTCCATTATAAATGAACTTAATATTACTAACAAGCTTTCCTGTAAAATCCGACTAAAACAACTAAAATATTTTGGACATATAATGAGGAAAAGTCCGGACAATATGGAAAGACTCATAATCCAAGGCAAGGTGAAGGGACGTAGACCACGTGGCCGCTCTCCAACTCGATGGATAGACCAGATTACGACTAGCTGTAGCAAGCCAATGCACGATGTCATCGAGATGACAAAAGACAGAGGCGCATGGAGAAAAATCATCCATGATGTTACACTGACCACTACACTCCCTAATGGGGGTCAGGACTGAAGAGAGAGAATTGATTTAATATTTTCTACCATTTTTTAATTATTTAGTTATAGATTTTTTTCTCCTCTTTCTCTATAGCAATTAAAAAATCAGCAGTTTCTAGGCTTCACTTTTAAAAACTTATTTAAAAAAATTATCTATATCAAAGTGCAATGAAATAAGAGACTGGATGACACACTGAAAGTAAATTGCCGAATAACGGTGTTCCCTAAGGTATTCGGATACATCTTTACGATAAAATAATAAAAAATTTGCAACTGATTTACTTTGCACTGCATAAAATAGAACGTCTTGATTTTCTGCCAAGTTTTCAAAATAACTTTATAGTAAAATGATATTTTTAAAACATAAACAAAAAAATTACATTAAGAATCGCTACAATAGAAATGCATACATACATATCTTATGAGTTGATATAGTTGATGATTTTGTTGATTTTTTCTCTCTCTGTATCTACGAATTTAGTGACTACAAACTACAAGGTCGAAAAGTTTAATTTTTCTTAAATAGCATTTTTTTGTATTAATTTTATATAAAAATTGTTTTAAAATAAACATATTCATTGCAAAAATGTATGTTTACGGCAAAACTAGTATCTACCTATAATTCCGTATGATCGAAAAAAATGTCGTCCAGTTGGCTGGGAAATGACAATCTATGACATTTTCATATAAATTTACATATAAAATGACAACGATCTTCATTTAATAGCCATCGCTGACGCCGTTTTTTTTTCGATCATACGGTATACCGGGTGGTATTGGTATGTTAGTATATGACATAAATAAGGATTGATTGATGTATTCAATTGTTTTCGGTTTTCACCGGAACTGACTACAAAAGTTGAAGTCATTTCCGATAGAAAATGACGCTCTAAATAGAATGACAGTTCATATGTCAACTTTTAACATTTTCGCATATGGTTTATTTAAAATTGTAACATGCGGTTCATAACGACAATTTGATTCGAAATACCAAGTGTGTGGTAACAAATTATTCATAAAAAAATGCTTTTCCAAATATGGTAATGAGCCACCCTCGTTCCATTTGAAAAAATTGAGATATTATTAAAAATATGTTTTAACTGGCCAGTATAAAACACTAAAACATTAGACGATCAAATCTATTTTTCCAATGCTCCTGTATTAAAAATTAATGTTTTTAACACACCCATGGCACTCTAGATTGCAATTTAAAATACGATGTTTTTTAAAGCGAACATGTCAAAAGTTGACATATGATGTGTCATTCTATACAGAGTGTCATTTTCTATTGAATAAAGTAAAAAAATACTGAAGGTGCCATTTAAAAATCAAAAGTTGTAGTCATTTCCTGTGAAACAGGAAGTGACCGAAAACAATTGAATATGTAAATCAATCTTAATTTATGACATATACTAACATACCAAATCTCGCTTTTTATGCGAAAAGATAAAAACGTTATAGGGGTGAGACACTTTTGAGACCCACCCGGTATTGTTTTGATGACGTCACATTGGCCAAACTATTCGCCCTTCTAGTTACTAAACTCGTAGAAATTGAGAAAAACCTTTTTATGCAAAAGTGATTTAATGATGTCACAGTCGCCATTATTGAAACAATCTGAAGGTGACTAAAGTAGTTATACAAAAATATCACTTAACCAGTCCTTTTTGGATCTCGCCTTTCAATATTTTATATTTCCATTTATTATTTACTCAATTTACCACCCTGTAGATACATTTTATGTTAGTCCGCTATTAATTTACATGCATATTTATAGGTATGAGGATAATAAAGTTGTAGTAAGCAAAGAGTATAGATGCATTTCTTATACCTATTATTTAGATACAAAAACCTTTACCAAATGTTGTGTTGGTAAAATAATAAGCTCTTAAATAAATTACATTAAATATGAAATTATCTGCTTGGTATCTCCAATTGAACAATTTAAAATGCCACCTTCTTTTCCGGTGTATTAGTTCATGGTCATATATATTTAGTATTGTATAAAATGGATATTTGTTAGTTAAAACTAGATCATAATGATATCCTCATTATTTACTTGAAAACATGTATTTCTGACTTTTTGTATTTTCTATCATAGCTACCTAGTTATCATGAAATTTACTTTAAAATATATAAACACTACATCTTACCTACACTATGAAAAGAAAGTAGGTATTCTTCACATTAAAGTGTATTAGGTAAATATTTTCCAAGATATTTTCAAAAAATACAATCTATATAAATTTATTTTCATGCTATTTAAGCAAATGTCTTTAATTAGCATTAATTTAAAGAGTTAACAGTGATCACTACTTTATGTTAAATGTATTATACATGAATAATTATATTTATATTTTCTATATTACTTCATTATGTTATATAAAATGCAACAATCCTTTATAGATATTTACCTACTTAATTTGATCTAATGACATTCAAAAATATATTCATACATACCAAGACAGGTAGGGATGTAATGTTCTAAATTAAAATTATTTTATGGTTAATTTACACTACACAATTGTTAGATAATGATCCTATTTTAAACTTTGCTTTATTTTACATATTTGCTTATTATTAGTTTTTGTTAGATGTTAGTACTCTACCTATATTTGCAATTCAAATTGTAATATTTATCACATTATTAATTTAGAAATTAGTAAATAAAAATGAACAAAAATAGTAAGAAGATGAAAAGTAGTAGCCTAATGCGTTAACTCTGAAAATATATATTTTTGAACTATATATTAAATAAATTGTATACCAAAAATTGCTTTAGGTTTACACTGAAAAAAATGTTTTCAGTTTCCAAAATGTCAAAGCGCGGTATAATAATGAAAACAAATTTAAACACTGAATATTGATTAAAATTGTGTTGACTGACAAAATATTGGTGTATTATACAATCGTTCTCAATTCACAAAACATAAATAACATAATTAAATAAAAAGTTAACTCACATAAAGGACCTAGGAACAGAAGCAAACATTTTTAGAATTTGCAACCTCACAGAGACAGACAGCTGATCTGCTCGATCTTCCACTCCTTTGCTAGAAACTTGACTTATTTTCAACTTAAAATACAGCGCCTGCGTTAAATTTTAGCTTATTTTGATCTGTTTGGATCATTTTATAATTTTAACAATACGCAACTCTGAAATGTAAATGATTGATCAATGAGATTTGAGGTTAGATACCAATGGACAAATGACAGATGACAGACCAAGAGGACTTGGAGAGGACCACAGATCCACAATGAGAGAACAGACACGAATTTTTTCTTTTCTATAGCTGTGTGCAACAATCGATTTCGATAATATGGTTAGATGCACATCCTATTAGATTAGATTTTAGATTAGACATCTACTCGTAATAGATTAATGCCCACTTGTACCGTTTGTATAAACTTTGTTTAAAGGCTAAACAGTGATTAACTATAATAAAATAGGTAAAGGTGTGGATCCGGTGGCTGACCTTGAAGCCCATATTTGCTGCATTTGATCATCGATACTACGCAAGCGCACATGGTCGATGTTGCCAAATTGCAGTTTATTTTCGAATTATTTGCAGTTGAAAATTTTTTTTTGAGTGTTAATCAATTATAATACAAATTCTATAATTAATTTTAGAATTTCAGATTTATCTTGATATTCAAAATTAAGGTAAGAAAGATAATGAAGATTGTGAAATGAAAGTATTATGAATATATAAAATTGTAATAATAATAACATTTATTTATATATTTACATTAGAATTAAAAATTATCATTTACGGATCTTTTTCTTAATGGTTTTAAACTTATTAGTATTATTTTAATTCTTTCAAGTTATTTAATTTCTAGTTATTTACAGGCAACAATAGTTTTGATTATATGTATTGATGTATTGAAGTACTACCATGACGAGTCTTATAGAACAATACACGTCAATGGAAGATAGAGGCAACATCTTACCTATAATGTTACTAATATAATATACTTTGATTATAATGTTTGTATCATAATTTCTTAAAAATATCAAGTTAGTGGATTAATAGCCAATTTTAGACATATATTTTATCGAAGAGTGTGTTGATAAGACTAAAATAAGCTTTGTTTTATCTTTTTCTCTTAAGAAGGGAGATAGTTTGTGCCGTAGAATACATTACAGTATTTAATATCGTGTACTTTGATATTCTTTTCTTAATTTACTGTAATTTCTTGTTTCGTATAATGCCAAATCTTGACATGGTGAAGGTTGAGTTTTGATCTTATTAGTTTTATACCTGTGTTTATACAAGACCAAATTAAGACTTAGTTAGTTTGTGATTTATATTAAGATCTTTCTTATAATATTTGTGTGTCTTAATCTTAATACTATATTATGCTTTGTGTGGAAAATAAATGTTAAAATATCTTAATTTTGCATATCCTATTCCATCCTTCCATTAGGAAAAATATATGGTTTATAAATCATGAAAATTACATAAATTAGGTGTAAGAATAAAGAAAACTAAAGGTAGCAGAAAAATTAATGCAATATATGTATAAGCAGAATTAAACAAGGTAACTGTTAAATGTTGCTGAAGCTGATTCTACAATTTTAATTACGGAGGCTAAAATGCCTTTTAAGGCCTCCCTAGTTTTGATGGAATGTTAAAAAAACTATTATGAACATGACATGAAGCTACAGCATTTAAAAATTAAAAAAAAGAAAAAACTTGGACACATTCCTTTTAATTTCCCGAATTTTTAATAAAGCACTTTTTAAACGTAGCATTATAATCTAGAGCAATTAGATTAATTATAGGAATCTAGAATTTTATTTCTATTTAATTTTACTGACTCTGAAAATACATAATAAGCATTCACGTTTTACGTGTTGTGCGAAATATTAAAATAATAATAGAAATAATATACCGCGTACTATGATTGAAAAAAATAGCGTCAGCGATGACTATGAAATGAAGATCGCTGTCATTTTATATGGGAAATGTCCTCAATCGTCATTTCCTAGCCAACTAGACGCTGTTTTTTCGATCATACTGTATATATTGACAAAACACACTGAAAAGCACATATTTGTTTTCTACTGAAAATAATTCCAAAATAACTTGCAATCTGGCAACGTCGAAGATGTGCGCCTGCGTAGTGTCTGTGACTATATACAGCAAAAACTCGTTTCAAGGTCAGCCACCGGATCCACACCATTACCATAAAATATGTATAGTTAATCACTGTTTAGCCTTTAAACAAAGTTTATACAAACGGTGCAAGTAGGCATAAGGATTAGACTAGCAGGATTTGCTACTAGTTATCTGCTAAAAATAACATTCATTACTTGTTATGTTTTTGTTGTAATATTACATTTTCAGTCATTAACGTTTGTCATTAACCTATTATACCGTATGATCCAAAAAATCGGCGTCCGCAGTTATCTTGGAATGTCGATTAATGACATCTGATGACATTTCCCATATAATTTTACCTTTAATTTTACATATAATTTTACCTTTTTTTTTACAACCAGTACACCTCATCACTGAGTGCGCCGAGACGACAACCATTCGTGCCATGAATTTTGGTACGACTGATATTGGAGATGGAGAACTACCCTCTATAAAACCGTCCCAGATACTGGCTTTTGTCAAAGCCCTGGGACTGTATGATGAGTTATGATTCAAGAAAGGGGGACACAATGGATCTGTAAGGTCGAAGTGATTAACCCCCCTTCCACTCATTCTAAATTCTAAAAAAAATTCTACCTTTAATTTTACATTATAGAATGACAGCGATCATATAACCATCGCGGACGTCTTTTTTTATATTATATTTTAATCTAAAAATCATTATTTCAAAACCTACTTGGTAATACAAGGGTAATACATATCTTACTTTTTGAATGCAGTTGTTTTTATAATTAAGCAAATAAAAGGTACCATACGATCGAAAAAAAAACGGTGTCAGCGATGGCTATGAAATTAAGATCACTGTTATTTTATATGGAAAATTATTTGGGGAATGTCATCGACCGTCATTTCCAAGCCAACTGGACGCCGTTTTTTTTTTCGTTCGTAGGGTATATTTTATTGATCATAGTCAGAGAACAAAAATCCCGTGTTCTATGTAGGTACAAAAATAAAACTATGGCGTAAAAGGTTTATCTTTTATATGTAATTTTCATTATATTTTTAACCATTTTTTAACCCATGAAATATATGATATCTACTTTAAATATGCTAAGAAGTTATGTAGAATTCTTAGATTACATTACGTATACAGGGTGTTTTAAAAAACATCTACCATCTTTCGTGGGGAAATTCCTCACATAAAAATAAGATTTATTTTCCATATCTACGTAGGTCCGATTCTGCTTTATTTCGTAGCTACAGGGTGTTAAAGCCTTATAATATTTTTTCGATATTTTAAATTTCTTCCAAGTACTTTCAGCGTTTCGGTTAGGATGAAATTTTGAGGGTACATCCACGTCATCCTAGAAAAAGCGGAAGGCTGCGCCCTGCGCCGTATTGACGTTACGATCTTATATCGATTTCCAGCATTTCCAGCAATATATTGGTTGAAAAATTCATCTGTCAAAAGTTTCAGCCAATCAATGACTATAAAGAATACAAGGACATATAACACCCGAGACCAAATTGTTACCATGGCTCCAAACAGTGCCGTGGCCATATATTTTTCTTAACTTAGCTGCTTGAAGGGATATTTATATTTTTGATAAATGTTTTGACTACGCCTATGGTCGAGGCGGTGGTATCATACTGTCAAGGTGTATGTGGCGCTAAACTGTATTGCTGGTTGCCTACATTGCCGCAAAGTGTCAAGAAATATGGCGAATTCACCAAAAAGTAAAAGACATTTTTAGGTGCCATCTCTTAATCAAGTCAACAAGTAAGCGAATCAGACAATAGAATTTACTGGCAGATGGCGGAAAAGTATCGAAAATTACAGAAGGTTCGAGAAACAATCAGTAGAGTAGGGGTATATAAAGGCCCGCGCTTGGCTGTTGGACAGTTTTGAAGTTTGATAATACCGCGTTTTAAATTGTGAATTAATTGGCGAAGGTGCCAGAACCGTTAGAGTAATAGTAGTTGCATAAATTGTGTTGTAAATAGTATAAGTTGTGTGTACAGAGTGACAAAAATAAATTTGTTAAGTATTTTATCGTGAGTTTAAATTAGTGGACCCACGGAATCCGTAACAATACTAACTAATTACAAAAAAAAAGTATTAAAATGTTAACAAAAGGTACAAAACTAGTATCGACGATTAGCACATATCAAAAACATATAGTATCAGAAAAATAATTACCAAATTCAATAAGAAAATGATAAAAAAAGTGGAGTGGACTGTTTATTTACTTATGAAACGCAACTCCTGGGTCTTTCTTATCATTGCGGCTTTTACACTTGAAAGCTGAACACTTCATCATTGTAATAAAGTTTATACAAAGTTCACTACACACAACAAATTATTAAAAATCGCTAAAATTGTCGCTGTTGATGAGGTATGGTGACTCATCCGTAGGCTCTAGCAAGATCCGCTTTTTTAGGATAATGTGGATGCACTGGATGCACCCTCGGGGTAAAAGTTACTATAAAATCTCTGCTATAAATACGACATATTTTAAAGCCAAAAAATGTTGATATATTCACCAAGGACGTGCATTTATCACTTGAATAATTTTTTAAAAAAAGCATGTACGCCACTTTTTTTTTCTCTTGTTAGCAAAATAATATAAGCAGTTTAATTCCGATTAAAAGTTGCCGATTAAGCGGCCTACACAATTTTGATATAAAAAAAAAGTGGCGCACATTTTTTTAGAAATATGTCAGTGATAACCCATATGCATGTCCCTGATGAATATATCGAAACTTTTTTAGAATTAAAATATGTAGCACTTATAATAATTTTTATCCTCAAAATTTCGAATCACTAAAAGTACTTGGAAGAAAAATATAAAATAAATCAAAAGGTTATTAAGACTTTAACACCCTGTAGCTACGAAACAAAGCATAATTGGACCTATGTTGATATAAAAAATAAATCTTATTTGTACGTGACGAATCTCCCCACGAGAGATGGCACATGTTTTTTGAAACACCCTGTATAATCTAAAAAGCATAAAAATGTTAAGGATACTATATAGAGATAAGGATAGTTCGATTCCTATCTTCCTGCATTGTCAGTTTTTTTACGTCATCTACTGACCGAGTTGAAGTTGGCGCTAAAGATTTTAGACAGTGAGAGCGTGGTGAGAGATGGGTGAGAGCGCTTGCACACACACCGGCAAAATCGGTGCCGGCTTTGCACCCGTTACGACAGTTGTATTTAATTCTATTGTATTTGCCGGTCCCCGACTATTTTACCGGATCGCAGTATATGTGAAAGATCTAATTTATTTATATTGCAATCGACTTCTGGTCCGGCACCGGCACCGATTTTGCCGGCGTGTGTGAAAGCGCTCTGACAGTTATTTTTGCATTTGACGGACGAGCGCACAGTGCGTTGGAAGATAAATTTAGCGGGACAAAAGCGTTTGGTTAGAAATAAGCCAAAAAATGTGTACCATAGACTTAAAATAAAATATAGACTGACCATCTCATTCATAAATAGCTGGAACATGCGGTCAGACAATGTCTTGTTATTGTTGTGTTATCGTTTTAGATTATAACGAGTGCGACACGAGCGATAGATAGGTTGTCTCTGTCGTAACGGTCGTTCCCTAACGACTCTGACGAGAAACGCAACACTGTCTTTCGTTTCTCAAGTACACCTGAACTCTCCGTATCATAGCCGGGTAATTTTTTTATTTTAAGGAAGCTATAATTAAATTAAAAATATATCGTATTTAAACTTTTTTATATTTTATTAAGATTTAGGAGAGGTTTTTTTAAATAAAAGTTTAGAAAAAACGTCTTAGAGCCCAAAGAGGATAAAAATAATAAAATACATGTTATAGAAGAAATTTTATAATCGAAATTACGTAATTTTTGAAATTATTAAAAAAATATTAATTTTAGTCAAACATTTACAACCCCTAACATTAATCAAAACAGGATCTATTCTACAAATATAATAGAATCGGCGACAGGGCGAGAAAAAAATTATGATTGTTGTAATTTTTTTTTCTGGTTAAGTGATGTCTTAGTTATGTAAATTAGAGAAAACATAAATCTGTTCCATTAAAGCAAGGAACGTGATAGGAAGTGGATAAAATGAAAACTACATTTATTTACTACTGTCTTTATTATACCGGGTGCGTCCCAAAAGTGGCTCATCCCCTATAATTTTTTTATTTTTTCAAATAAAAAAAGAAGATTTAGTACGCTAGTATATGACATAAATTAGGATTGATTGATGCATTCAATTGCTTTTGGTCACTTCCTGTTTCACCGGAAATAACTATAACTTTTAATTTTTAAATGGCACCCTAGGTATATTTCTACTTTATTCGATAGAAAATGACACTCTAAATAGAATGAAATATCATATGTCAACTTTTGACATTTTCGCATATGGTTTAATTGTAATTGTAACACGCGGTTCATAACGACAATTTGACTCGAAATACCAAGTGTTTGGTATCAATATATTCATAACAAAATGCTAATGAGTCACCCATACAAATCTGTTTTTCTATCTGAAAAAATAAAAAAGTTATAGGGGTGAGCCACTTTTGAGACAAACCCGGTGTATTAAAAAATATTGTTTCATAATGTAATATCATTTTAAAATTCTTGTATGTTATTTTAGATTCTGAAGATAATTTTAGAATAAACCGGAATATATTTTTAATAAAAACATTTTTAATTATTAACAGGGTTATAATAATTATGATTTTGTTACAAAAACCTTTATATAAATGATTATGTAAGAGAAAAAATTCAGATTTTACATTTTACTAAAATATTATCTAAATAAGCGCCTTTCTACAACAACGCCACCGACTCCCAATGGGTAAATTGAGAGTTGCCTACCGGTCGAAAGTCCTTTCAAGACTTAAATGGATTATTTAAGTCAAATTTCTTGCAAATTTGGCACTGGCGAACCATATTTTATAGTTCTTGAACAGAAAAAGTAAATAAAATAAACATTTAAGGAATACAAGCTAAGAAAATGCGTTAATACAGCCGGGGAGATAGCGGCAACAAAGCTTTAGCGCACACGTGCGACACGTACTACAAGGTAATAAAATGAATAGGCAACCTCGCCTCTAATCGGTGTTGCCATATTGTAAAGAACTTATCCTTTTTAAATAGTATAATTGTAATTTAGTAGTATAAGGACTATTTAATACATCTATGGAATATTAAAACCTACTTTATTAAAATGTAGTATTAATATCTCAATATATTATGTGTATAACAAGAAAAAAATTATTGATAATATTAAAGACGTGACAACATAGGCTGGATGAGGAAGGCTCGGTCGACTGTACCCAGAAGTAAACATGTGTACAAAAAAGATTGTTTGACCGCGTTTAGATGTAAATAGTGTAGTCTATATTTTATTTTAAGTCTATGATGTGTACTGATAAGAATAAATAGTAGACATTCCAATTGATACAAAAATGCATGAATATTCTTTGTATTTCGATACATTTTTATCAACCAAATTTGGTCGTTTTCTGCTCAGCAAGGCAGAGATCATACGAAAACAAAATATTTACAAGTGCTTATACATTTTATTAGAAAGCCAAATTATGTTGAAGATTGCCAAAGGTATATACTTTTCTACTGTACGTATATTATTTGTTAAAATTCTTCGTGCCTTTATTCTGCAGATATCAAACTTTCACTTTTTTTTGAAATATCGATATATTGAATGATGTAGATCTTTTGAGTTACTAATAGTTACCAACACAGGTAGTCACAGTCACAGATTCATTTCAATCGGATAGTATAAAAACAAAACAACTCTAACAAAAGGCACTGAGTTTAAAAAATTGTCTTAGATACTTACTATATATGAATTTACAATTACCGAGTATTAAAATTAAAATTAAAATATCTATCTTATTTATTATTTTCAAAATAAAATATATTTTTTTAAAATAAATTATAGAGGGTGTCACAAGATTACAAATTAATTAAAAAAAACTGCTAAAGAGTTTCTTGATATCATAATTTTATGTATTTGGCAATAGTTTACAATACGGTTTTTGTGTGTCATGTACGAATAATACCATAGTTTTATTATCTTGTATTTATTTATTAATAAATTAAGTTGTTAATAAATAAATAAATTTAACCATATAGTTGCTATATATTAGTCCATTTGCTACGTTCTTAGATTTTAAGTCCCAAATATTGCTTTTGAGATTTTGTCCCGCTAGAATAACCATCCGCCGCACTGTGGAGCGCTGGTCAGCGCGTGACGTAGCATTCCACGGCGACTACGACAGCGGCGATTTGACGCGATCGAACAGTCCTTTAGAATATATACAGTCCTTGTAAAAATGTAACTAATTTATAATAAACTATGACAATAAACAAATTGGTAGCTATAGTTACGGTTTAACAGCTAGTGCCAGAATGGTGCCAGAGAGTGAAAAATGGAATTAGAAGATAGTACACAATAGTACATCTCAAAACATTCTGAACAAATTTAAATTTTTATGCGTAAATATCTTTGATATAATCCTAAAACACTTTTAATAAAGTCATGATGCGAAAAACACTGTATTTTAATATTTGTGTGTTTTATACGGGAGGGGTAATGGGGGTAATTACCCCTCCCAAGAAGAAATTTATAAATATGAAAATCTGGTATAAAATAAAATTGTCACAAAATAAATTTTAATAATATCAATCAAAATAGAAATCCAGAACAATCTAAGTTTATTTTTTCCATAGTAATTTTGAGCGAATTAACATTATTTAAATATTGCCACATTGCCAATTGCCACTACCCCTCCAAGACTCAATCTCTGGATGCGCCACTGTACTACATGATACATAATAAAGCTTTGTCTATAACTTAAATAATTAAAAATATATCTACCAATCAAGGATTATATATATACGATATCATATCTTGGTCTTTGGTGATAACACTATCAAAACAAAACAATTAAATTGATGGCTCAATCGACAAATTCTTATTGCTCAGGCCCAACAGGCCCATATCTAATATCAGCTGATTGTCAAATAAATTTCTAACCTCTGTTCTGAGCCACTTCTGAGCATTGAGGGGCATCAAGAGGCATTTTTAAACATTTTTTAAATACTAGTAAATCATACATTTTATTTCACATAGGCAGAGAAAAGGAACAATTGCTTACTGGTTTAAAGGTTTATTATTGATAAATTATATGTAAAATGTCAGATACAGAAGAGGAGAAAATGTTTGAAATAGAAACGGCCAAAAATGGAAGAGCTGGATGCAAAAAATGCAAACAAAAGTGTCAACAGGGTGATCTAAGAATTGCGAAAATTGTACCAAATCCATTTGGCGATGGAAAAATGAAAAATTGGCATCATGTAGATTGTTTATTTGATGGTTTTAAAAAACAAAGGGCAACCACCAAACGCATCGAAAGCGAAAGTGATATAATTGGACTTGATGCTCTATTAGATAGTGATAAAGAGTTGATCAGAGAGAAAATAAACGAACTTCATAAGTTTTTTGGTACTACTAAGAAATCACCAGCTAAGCGAAAAGGCAAGTTAGTGGAGACAACTAAGCAAACTAAGAATTCGCAGAATAATGGGAAAGGTGTGCAACAAGTGAAATCATATAAAGATGATTTATTTCAAACTTTTCAAGACTTGGTTAATAAGGTTTCAAAACATCCTAGCTATTTAGATAAAACAGCTATTGTAAAGCAGATGTTTGAGAAAGGAAGTTCTGGAACTGGATTTGAAGGTGACCCTGAAATTTGGTGTAGATTATTATTACCTGGCAGCGTAAAGAGAATTTATAATTTACAAAGTAAACAGTTAGTGAAACTTTTCAGTAGAATATTTAATGAAGACCAAACAGAAATGTTGGAGCATTTACAGCAAGGTGAAGTAGTGCATACAGGGCGATACTCTTAACTTGGAATGAATTCATTAAGCCAAAGATCTTTTGATTTAATAAATTCTGTTTTTAGAAACATGTTCTGATTTATTCCAATTTGGAAAGTCACCCTGTATAAGTAACATAATTTTTAATGATTATATCTTTACTATAGGGGATATTAGTGAAACAATTAGTCATTTTTATAAAGAAAGTTTAAAAATGAAGCCAATACCGTTGACTTCAACAATAACTGTTCAGCAAGTAGATACTTTTCTTGAACATCTCTCAAAATTAAGCAAAGAAGAGGACCAAATGAATCATTTCCAAACTATTTTAAAGATACTGACATCTGAAGATCTAAAAACAATCATTCGATTAATTAAACATGATTTAAGAATGGGTGCTGGACCAAAACATATTTTAGAAGGAATTCATCCTGATGCATATGATGTATATAAAGCATCAAAGGATTTAGATGGGGTAGTGGAAAGGTAGGTAAGGGTTATTTGATATATTACTAGCGTATACCAGCGACTTCGTTCGCGTCGAATTAACCATTTGTAATGGTGATGATAAAGCAAAGCAAGAATTTCCATTAACATACAAACTGGATAAAATTTTCTCACAATTATGTCAGCATGAGAAAAAACAATATGGCGATATTATATAACTTGGTAATATTTGAGGGGTAGTTTCATCTCGTTGGAATTTGACTTTCGAAAAATCCGTTTGCCAAAAATAAGCTGTTTACGTCAAGCAGTTTAAGCAGAATCGTGGTTAAGAAATTACCCAACTTTTTGGAACACCCTGTATGATTTTTTAAAAAATTTCAAAATATGTAAAAAAAACAAATAAATTATGCTTGTCCAAGCGTTTTCCCGAAAGACTAACCGTTTTTTAAACAACAAATAGTATAATATTTGAGGGGCATTTTCACCCTCTTGGAATTTGAGATTCGAGAAAGCCCTTCTTATCGAACCTCTACACCCCACAGTCAATCCGTTTGCCAAAAATCAGCTTTAAATCAAAAATCAAAATCATTTATTTAAAGATAAAAAAATATTTTATGGGTATATGTGGGGAGACAATGTGCACAATTTAAAATTATTTTGAAATATACAGGGTGTTTCAGAACTAAGATCCATACCAAAGTTATATTTTTTCTTATGGAACACCCGGTATTTTATTTCATTTTTGGATTCGTGGGCCCCCAAAAAGTCATTTATTATAGGGTTAAATATGTTTAAAATCTTTGGTTTTTGAGATATTTAAATTTGCATGCTACTATAGAATAGATTATTAACACGTTGTACATTACTTTTCAGAATTAAATCTTGTGCTGAGTTTAAAGGTAAAGAAATAAACTTTACTGGAAAGTGTTATTACTTCCTTAAATTTATACAGGGGTATCAAAAATTGCTGATTTAATTTAAGGATTTATTTTACATAAAAACCTCGTTATTTCAGATACAACACCCTGCATTTTTTATAATAAATCGAAGCAGATTGATATCCAAAATTAAGGTAAGAAGGATAATGAAGTTTGTGAAATGAAAGTATTATGAATATATAAAATTGTAATAATAATAACATTTATTTATATATTTACATTAGAATTAAAATTTATCATTTACGGATTTTTTCTTAATGGTTTTAAACTTATTAGAATTATTTTATTTCTTTCAAGTTATTTAATTTCTAGTTATTTACAGGCCACAATAGTTTTGATTATATGTATTGATGTTTTGAAGTACTAAGTACCATATGACGAGTCTTATTATAGAACAATACACGCCAATCGGAGATAGAGGTAACATTTTACCTATAATGTTACTAATATAATATACTTTGATTATAATTAATGTTTGTATCATAATTTCTTAAAAATATCAAGTTCGTGGATTAATAGCAATTTTAGACATATATTTTATCGAAGAGTGTGTTGATAAGACTAAAATAAGCTTTATGTTTTATCTTTTTCTCTTTAGAAAGGAGATGGTTTGTATCGTAGAATACATTACAGTATTTAATATCGTGTCCTTTGATATTCTTTTCTTAATTTACTGTAATTTCTTGTTTCCTATAATGCCAAATCTTGACAATATGGTGAAGGTTGAGTTTTGATCTTATTAGTTTTATAATAATAATAATAATAATAATAGAAATACGGGGGTCAAAAGATGTAAGACGATGCTTAACAGGAACACACAACTGGAAAATGGCGGGACCAGACAAGCTCCAAAACTACTGGTATAAAAAACTAACATGCATTCATGAGAAGATAGCAGCAATACTTAACGACTTTCTTAAACAGCCGAACACCATACCAAAATTCCTCACAGAAGGCAACACCTATCTCTTACCTAAAACCACGACATCTTCTAGCGATCCATCGAAATATAGGCCTATAACCTGTTTGCCTACACTCTATAAGTTACTAACAGGTATTTTATGTAATAAAATATATGAACATATTGATACCAATAATCTGATGACTCAAGAACAGAAAGGATGTAGGAGGAAGGCTCAGGGATGTAAAGACCAACTAATAATCGACGCAGTAATCATGGAACATGCGAAAAAGAATAAAAGAGACCTGCATACAGCATTCATAGACTACCAAAAAGCGTTCGACAGCGTGCCCCACTCCTGGCTGATAGAGAGTCTTAGGCTGTACAAAATCGATACACAAATTGTTACACTACTGGAAAGCCTTATGAATTCATGGAAAACGAACCTGATATTGAATAACCAGACCACAGACATTTCGATTCATATTAAACGGGGAATATTCCAGGGTGATGCACTAAGTTCCCTCTGGTTCTGCATTGCATTAAATCCATTAAGCAGCATGTTAACCCACACGGACAGTGGATTTAAGATATCTGAAGAAAATGTGAGTCACCTTATGTATATGGATGATATCAAACTGATATCCAACACACAAAATGGTCTAAATAAACTTATAAGAACAACTGAAGAATTTTCCAATGATATAAGAATGAACTTTGGCCTAGAAAAATGTAAAACAAACCATATGAAAAGAGGAAAATGGTGTCAGTCAGATGACTTCATCCTTCTAGAAGAATCAGGAGGAGGAACTGTGAGATCTATGGATAAACATGAAACATACAAATATCTAGGGTTTATACAGTCACAGGGAATTAATGGCAGTGAAATGAAAAATCAAATAAAGAACACATTCAAGACCCGATTAAATGCTGTCATGAAGACCCAGCTCTGCGGAAGCAATAAAGTCCAAGCTACAAATACATTTGTAATGCCAACATAACATATAGCTTTGGAATCAATAAATGGACCCCTACAGAACTGGACGAACTAAACAGGTCTGTTAGAACAACGTATACAAAATATCGATCCCATCATCCAAAAGCATGTAAAGAACGTTTCCATCTTCCAAGAGATATAGGGGGGCGAGGCGTCATGGATCTGCGACTACAACATAAAAAACAAATTAAAAACCTACGAACGTACTTCCACACGATAGCATCAACATCAAGCCTCTATGATACCATAAGCAAAACAGATAAAAAATTGACGCCTCCGAATCTTAGTGATAAAGAAATGAATATAGATGCTGGTTACACAATAGCCCTGCAAAAAAGCAAGTGGCAAGGAAAAGAGCTACATGGCCGATACCTCAACACACTTGATCTGGACAGCATTCATAAGCCAGCTTCAGTAGCATGGCTAACACACGGAACGATTTTCCCAGAGACAGAGGGATTTATGTGCGCAATTGAAGACGAAGTAATAGCCACAAGATCATACCTAAAATATATAATAAAGGACCCCACAATTAAAACAACTGTATGCCGAATGTGCGGAGAAGGAAACGAGAATATAGAACACATTATTAGTAGTTGTACAACGCTAGCTTGAAGAGAGTATGCCGACAGACATAACAATGTAGCAAAAATAATACATACAGAACTTAGTTTGAAGTAAAAATGCATTAACGAGCGCATTCCATATTATAATTATGTCCCAATGAGCGTCCTAGAGAATGATGCTTGTAAATTTATTGGGATAGAGAAATATTAACAGATCGGACTGTGCAACATAACAGACCAGACATATGTCTGCTGGACAAACTCAAAAAAGAAATCTATCTTATTGATATCGCTGTCCCTGCCCCTACAAATGTCAACCGAAAACATCAAGAAAAGATCGACAAATATACCTTACTAGCACAGGATATGAAAGAGGTCTGGGGAGTGGATAGGGTGTCAGTGGTGCCTATAGTGATGGATCAACTGGAGAAATCCCCAAGCAGCTCCTTCACAATCTGAAAAAACTGGAACTTAACCAAAATCTTTACATACAACTTCAGAAGTCAGTTATTCTCGCAACATGCAACATAATGAGAAAAGTATTAAACTTGAGAAGATAGTTAAAAACTATTGTCTTGCCCCTTGGGACCGACAATAGATTTACTTACCGTGTAACGTGAAAAAAAAAAAATAGAAATACAAGACTAAATTAAGACTTAGTTTGTGATTTATATTAAGATCTTTCTTATAATATTTGTTATGTCTTAATCTTAATACTATATTATGCTTGGTTTGGATAATAAATGTTAAAATATCCTAATTTTGCATATCCTATTCCATCCTTCCATTAGGAAAAAATATGGTTTATAAATCATATATGCTAAGAAAATCACATAAATTAGGTGTAAGATTAGAGAAATCTTAATGTAGCAGAAAAATTAATGCAATATAAAGCAGAATTAAACAAGGTAACTGTTAATGTTGCTGAAGCTGATTCTACAATTTTAATTACGGAGGCTAAAAGGCCTTTTAAGGCCTCCGTAGTTTTGATGGAATGTTAAAAAAAAATATTATGAACAAGACATGGAGCTACAGCCAGGGTTACAGGTTACAGGGGGTATAAACTACATTACATGTAGTTTATGTAGAGGGTGTGGTTTATGAAACCTATGTATGCGACTTTCAAATATTAAAGGTTTGAGGTGAGGTTATAATACGTTGAAGCTTTAAAAAACACAATGTATTTAAGAAAACAGAAGAAATATGGCTTTAAATATAATATTCACACATCATATTATTTAGACCCCTCATACAAAGTAAAATTATTCATAATATCAATACATAGTTTATTAACGTAGTTTTCATGTAGTTAAATGAACGGGAAAAGACGTAGTTTTTGAAGAAAAACTACACGTAGTTAATCAGGTAAATTACGTCTTAATTAACTACTTCCAAACCTGGCTACAGCATTTAAAAAAAAAAAAAAGAAAAACTTGGACACATCCCTTTTAATTTCCCGAATTTTTAATAAAGCACTTTTTAAACGTAGCATAATAATCTAGCTAGGAATCTAGAGTTTTATTTCTATATAATTTTATTGACTATGAAAATACATAATAAGCGTTCACGTGTTGTGCAAAATATTAAAATAATAATATAAATAATATACCGGCGTACTATGATTGAAAAAAAAAATAGCGTCAGCGATGACTATGAAATGAAGATCGCTGTCATTTTATATGGGAAATGTCCTCAATCGTCATTTCCCAGCCAACTGGACGCCGTTTTTCGGTCATACGGTATATATTGACAAAAAAACACTGAAAAGCACATATTTGTTTTCTACTGAAAATAATTCCAAAATAACTCGCAATCTGGCAACATCGAAGATGTGCGCATGCGTAGTGTCTGTAACTATATGCAGCCAAAACTCGTTTCAAGGTCAGCCACCGGATCTACACCATTACCCTTATTTATTAAACTATTGTAGGTAAATCTAAGTAAACTGTTATAAATTATAAATAATAATGACCATAAACTAATGTCGACTTTGAAAATAGTTACTAACTGTCACTAGAAAATTGCCATGGCGACAGCAGCCATCTTGATTGCAATTTTATTTAAAAATCGCTTTTTATTCAAAATCTCAGCTAGATAGGTATAGGAAATCATAATATAATTTGAAAGAGCATTTGAATCTGCTTCGGATTATTTAAAAAAATACAGGGTGTTGCATTTGAAATAACGAAGTTTTTATATAAAATAAATCCTTAAAATAGATCAGCAATTTTTGATACCCCTGTCAAAGCCCCTGTATCAATTTAAGGAAGTAATAACATTTTCCAGTAAAGTTTATTTCTTTACCTTTAAACTCAGCACAAGAATTAACTTTGAAAGGTAATGTACGGGGTGTTAATAATCTATTCTATGGTAGCATGCAAATTTAAATTTCTTTAAATATCTCAAAAACCAAAAATTTTAAACATATATAATATAACCCTTATAATAATTGCCTTTTTTGGGCCCAAGAATCCAAAAATGAAATAAAATACCGGGTGTTCCGTAAGAAAAAATATAACTTTGATATGTATCTTAGTTCTGAAACACCCTGTATATTTCAAAATAATTTTAAATTGTGCACATTGCCTTCTTACATATACCCATAAAATATTTCGTTTCGACATCTTTCCGTTTTCGTATAATCAACCGAGGCGATTGAGGTGCGCCACCCTGTATACTGCTGGTTATGGAACTTACGACATTTAAAAAAAACATGACAACCCGATTTTTTAGCACTTAGACATTATTTGAAAGTGAATTTTGTCTCTAATTGATATGTTTTTAAAGAGCTATAAAACACATTTTATTGTTAAAAGAATTATTAAAAGAAGATAAGGCCTGCTCTTACTATTAATGTTGGATTAGAGTTTGGGCGCACATTGGGATATACTTTTATTATGGAAGTAATTTAAATGTTGAAATTGTACTTAATATTTTTTCTTTAAGTAATACCTTTTTCTGTAAAGAACTTTACTATTAACTTACACTTATTATTTTTTTATTTACTAGTGCAATAGTTCACTATTATTTTAGAAGATATTTAGGTGTTCCAATGACGACTAATAATAATAAACGATAATAGATTAACTATCCTACCAGTTATTCTGTGATCCTACTATAATTATTTCATACTTTACTTAGAGAAACTAATGGTATACTACTGTAGTTTAGAAGTATATTAGAGATCCAAGAACAGTTAACCTAACAGGACTGCTCATTCAGCCAAAAGTGTCAGCCAGGTGCATGCGAAAACACGCTTTGTGACGTCATTGTAGTCCTTGTCATGGTTATTAGTCCTTATCCGGCAACCAACAATACACACACGTGCATTATTGGTTGCCGGGTGCAAAACGTTCATTATTTAGTTTATTTATTTAAACACCTTATATGTTTTTTTCAGGCATTCTTTTTAGAGTATTTCCATATTTTGCTTTAAAATAATTAATAAACAATATCGTAGGCACTTAGTAAACATTTTGTCACAATCCACAACACAAAATGAACGTATTTATACACTCTATAGCTCTAAAAACTTTAAAAACACCTTTTTCACATTTAAAATTGACAAACTAATTAACTCAAAATTTCTCAGCTGTTATTTTTATAAGTATACCATATGCAACTAATAATACACACTATCATGACAAGGACTACAATGACGTCACAACTGTCAGCTGAAGCGCGGGAAGAGGCGAACGTACGTCTTATGAGGATGAGCAATCCTATTAGTTTACCGTTCTTGTTAGAGATCTAGAACATAGATACTTAAGCTAAATATGAAGAAGCATTTGACATTGTAATATTTATTATTTTAAGGTGTTTTAAAAATAAAAAGGTGCAAAATGCAGATATAAAAATTTTAACTCCTGTTTTTCCAATGCTGGCAGAAGCATGCAAATCTGTTGAATATGCTTTAAAAAAATGTCCAAATGGAATGTTTTCAGAAATTAAGTATGATGGTGAGAGGTAAGAATTCATGTTTTTTATTGTTCTGTTAATTAATAGGTATATTTAATAGTTTAGTCTGTTTAGGAAAAGAATTTATATTAAACTAAAAACAGATGTCTGTCAATTCAGTTCAGAAGTAAGACAGTTTTTATCTTTTATTTTGTGAATGGTGAATTTTGTCAATGGTGCCAAAATCATAAATTCTTTTGTAGAACAGATTACAACTTGGTTTATTATTGTAATGTTAATGTCATCTATCTTTAATATAATAATAGAATAATACATATATATTTGATATCAATTAAACTTTTAGTTATTTAATCGAGGGCGCGATTTTTTAATCCATTGTTGCCAACCATGGACATATTCGGGGCGCCAAGCTGACTAACTAGAATTTAAATTTCGCGCTGGGGATTCAGGTGGTAGCTCTGCTGTAAAAAATGTCAAGTTGCTGCATTTATTTATTTATTTCTTGACATCGTCATTCGTTTTGACACTTTTGTATTTCCAGTTTTTGGTTAAAATAAATAGTGTTGTGATACTTTAAGCTTATAAACGTTTACTAGCAGATCTTTTAGTCGAACATTATTTTTTTTAGAACCTCTTTTAGTGCGAAGTGTACAAGATAGCTTAATAGCCGCAAAAAAACTCATCGCAACTTTATTAGAATATTTTGAACGGGAAAGCGGTAGTAATGGCCCTTTATGTCCCTTAAGTAGGGTTCCCAACCGTCCGGGTTTGGCCGGGATTAACCAGGAATCAGAAAGTTTGTCCCGGCGAAAGTTTTGACTTGGCCGGGACCTGGAAATTAAAAAAATGTGTACTACACACATAATATATTTTATTTTCTAATATTTAATGTCTTGCTTCAATTATTTAAAAGCTTAAAAATAAATGTCCCGGAATCGCCGATGCTCAAGTTGGGAACCCTACCCTTAAGTGCTGTTAATAACGTGACTTTAGTTGATCTAAATAATAACTGTTTATACCGGGTGCGTCTCAAAAGTGGCTCACCCCCTATAACTTTTTTATTTTTTCAGACAAAAAAAAACGAAATTTAGTGTGTTAGTATATGATATAAATTAGGATTGATTGACTTATTCAATTGTTTTTGGTCACTTCCTGTTTCACCGGAAATTACTACAACTTTTGGTTTTTAAATGGCACCCTCGGTATTTTTTTTACTTTATTCGATAGAAAATGACATTCTGAATAGAATGACATATCATATGTCAACTTTTGACATTGTCACTTAATAAAAAATTGTATTTTAAAATTCAATCTAGAGTGCCATGGTTATGTTAAAAACACTAATTCTTAATCAAGAAGCCTTGGAACAATACATTTGATCGTCTAATGTTTTTAGTGTCTTGTCCTGGCTAGTTAGAAAATGCTTAAATCGTATTTTTAATCATATCTCAATTTTTTCAAATGGAACGAGGGTGGCTCAGTAGCATATTTGGAAAAAGCATTTTTTACGAATAATTTGATATCACACACTTGGTATTTCGAGTCAAATTTTCGTTACAAACTGCAAGATGTCAAAAGTTGATATGTCATTCTATTCCGAGTTTTATTTTATATCGAATAAAGTAAAAATATACCTAGGGTGCCATTTAAAAATCAAAAGTTGTAGTAATTTCCGGTGAAATAGGAAGTGACCGAAAACAATTGAATACGTTATTCAATCCTAATTTATGTCATATACTAACATACCAAATCTCATTTTATTAACTGAAAAAATAAAAAAAAATATAGGGGTGAGCCACTTTTGAGACGTACCCGGTATATTTATAATTAATTTATTTTTGTTTCCTAAAATATTTTGATTAAAAGAAAATATGTAAAAGTTGGTAACGCTGTGTCAATCAAGCTTAATGACGTGACTAAAAGTTTATTTGGTATGAACTGTACATAAATTGTCAAATAAGTCCAATTAACAGTTCGTCCCTTGGATTAGAAGTAGTTTATGTCCATTTTCTTCAAAATTGAGACCTACGATTTCTTTTTCTACATTTTTTTCATTGAATTATTAAAAAAAGTTTATGCGAAAGAGCAATTATTATGCCATTTGTCAGGTCATTTTGAAAATAAGTATATCTCTCATAATATGTTATACAGATTACCTATTAAATAATTAATATATTTTATAATAATAGTAAAGAACTGTAGTATAGCTTTTATATACTTTTATCTAGGTACAATTAGGAAAGAAATATCTAAAATGAACCCTTGTTAAAAATATTCCATCGTGGAGTTGCTGTGAATATTTTCTTATTATTAGTTTTATATAATCAGTTTTGAAGTATTTATTGTAATAATATCATTTTTGTTATCTATATTGGATATTTTTAATTATTTCATAAAATAATTCTAGTTGCTCATATATGAGACAATTCAAAATTTAAATACGTCCTATACAATTATTCATAGTGCTTGACAATAAAAATGTTGTTGGATATTGTCTGTATTTTTGTGCACATTATTTTTCTGGGAATATTGTAATTAATACTATATATCATTATTTATCATATTTTTAATAGATAAATTAGCTTTACTTGACAGTATAAGCAATGATTCAAGATAATTATTTTTTTTGGAACGTCAACATATTTGTAAAAATAAATCATCACTAATAAGTTTTTTCTTATTATGACAAAGCCTGGAGTTATTTTCTACTATAGAAATCGTATACAGGGTGGCGCACCTCATTCGCCTCGGTTGATTATACGAAAACGGATAGATGTAGAAATAAAATATTTTATGGGTATACGTGGGGACACAATGTGCACAATTTAAAATTATTTTGAAATATACAGGGTGTTTCAGAACTAAGATCCATACCAAAGTTATATTTTTTCTTATGGAACACCCGGTATTTTATTTCATTTTTGGATTCTTTGGCCCAAAAAAAGACATTTATTATAAGGGTTAAATATGTTTAAAATCTTTAGTTTTTGAGATACTTAAAGATATTTAAATTTGCATGCCACAATAGAATAGACTATTAACACACTGTATATTACTTTTCAGAATTAATTCTTATGCTGAGTTTAAAGGTAGAGAAATAAACTTTACTGAAAAATGGTATTGGTTCCTTAAATTTATACAGGGCTATCAAAAGTTGCTGATCTATTTTAAGGATATATTTTATATAAAAATTTCGTTATTTCAAATGCAACTCTTCTTCTTCTGCTGCTATCCATTAATGGATGTTTGCGATCAGTTCTGACCATCTTTCTCTCTCTCCGGTGGCGTGAATTAATTCTCCTGTAGTTCTTATTCCCGTCCAATGTTTAACATTTCGGAGCCACGACATCCTCTTCCTGCCCAATCCCCTTCTTCCTTCTATCTTTCCTTCTATTATTAGTTGGAGTAAATGGTATCTCTCATTGCGCATAACATGTCCCAGGTACGCTGTTTTTCTGCGTTTTATTGTGCTTAGCAGTTCACGCTCTCTCCCCATCCTCCTCAGGATTTCCTCGTTGGTCTCTCTTGCTGTCCATGGGATTTTCAAGATTCTTCTGTAGACCTACATCTCGAACGCTTCCAGCCTGTTCATGTTTCTGACTTTCAACGTCCAGCCTTCCATACCATATAGTAACACGGACCATACGTAACATTTTGTAAATCTTACTCTAAGGTCAAGGTCAAAGTCAGAGTTGGTTAAGACGTTTTTAAATTTCATAAATGCGCTCCTCGCTTTTTCTATACGGCACTTGATTTCCACGTCCGAAGACCAGTCTTCACATACCCAAGTTCCCAGATAGCTGAACTTTTTTACCCGTTCTATGTCTTCCCATTGTGCGTTAGTCTTGCATTCTGGTAGTCATCTGGTTTGCGGGTAACTATTAGGAATTTTGTCTTTTTTGTGTTGATGTCAATTCCCATACGTCGGCTGTGTATTCCAATCATGTCCAAGAGTGTTTGGAGGTCATTCATGTTATCCGCTATCAGGACTGTGTCATCTGCGTACCGTATATTGTTGATCCATATGCCATTTACTTTGATGCCTATTTCTTGTCCTTCGAGCGCTTCTTGGAAGATGTTTTCTGAGTATAGGTTTGGTTTGGTTTGGTTTGGTTTCAAATGCAACACCCTGTATTTTTTTAAACAAATCGAAGCAGATTCAAATGCTCTTTCAAACTATATTAGGGTTTCCTATACCTATCTAACTCAGATTTTGAATAAAAAGCGATTTTTAAATAAAATTGCAATCAAGATGGCTGGTGTCGCCATGGCAATTTTCTAGTGACAGTTAGTACCTGTTTTCAAAGTCGACACTAGTTTATGGACATTATTATTTATAATTTATAACAGTTTACTTAAATTTACCTACAATAGTTTAATAAGTAAGTATTCATTATTTTATCAAGAAAAATAAAGCAGTATCTGCTGGCGGAACGAATAGACATGTTACTAGTAATATTATTTTATGAGGAAAATTATTGCTTCTTGGCCTCAAGGGCTTATCCTCAAAGATATCCAAATAAGAATCTTCCTGATAAGCGTTTCTTTGAAAAACTTCTTGTCCTATTTCGCAGAGCTGGTAGTGTGGTTTATAAAAAAACCTATTAGGCAGAAACCTGTCGTTGGAAGTGAATAAAATGAATTTGCCGTAACTGGCTATTTTATAGAAAATCCATATATCTACAAGTCATCGTAAAATAATTCAAAGAACTTCTTCTTCGTTTTTCTTGATAGAATAATATACACATATTTAATAAATATTATTTATTAAAGTATTGTAGGTAAATTAAATAAAAGAGTAAAGTGGTATAAATTTAAATAATTCCATAAACTAATTTCGATTTTGAAAATAGCTACTAACTGTCACTAGAAACTTGCCATGACAACACTAGCCATCTTGATTGCAATTTTATTGAAAAATCGCTTTTTATTCAAAATCTAAGCCAGATAGGTATAGGAAACCCTAATATAGTTTGAAAGAGTATTTAAATCTGCTAACAATTTTTTAAGTAAAAAAATACATAGTGTTGCATTTGAAATAACGAAGT